GGGAGGAGGTTTGCAATGAGAGAGACTCTCAGTTCTCAGGCTGTGTTTTTTCCAAACAACAGACTCCCAGCACAGACTTGGGGCTTGGTGGCCACCTTGCTGACCTTTCTCCTTGGGTGCAGATACAGGGCCTCACAAGCTCATCTTCACAGCCTTCCACACCACTGGTGTCTCGACCAAAGCAATGACAAGCCCCGCCCCCTCAACTCCTCCTCCCCTCCCCCTCCCCCTCCCCTTACTCCTCCCCCTCTCCTTTATCCCCCTCCCCTTCTTCCCCACCTCCTCCTCCTCCTCCTCCTCCTTTCCCTAGGAACATCACATGCACAGTCTACTCAGCCCCAGCCCTAATGCACACACAGAAACAGAAATAAGAGAAATGGAAATCCAAACCCAGAACACTGACTGCTTTGTTTCTGAACTGTGCCTTGTACAAATCTATCCATACTGCAGAAATTTCAACTTATCCATCAAAGCATGCAATGCTCAGCCACATGCTGTTATAACCCGAAACCGGGTCTGTAAGCACCCATGTGATGCAGTTGTGCCTGTGTTGCAGCTTACTGCGTAGAGAATGGAAAAGTCAGTGAAGGGAGAGCAGAAAGACATGCTGCTTGATACCAAAGAGCCTGGGCTCTCACACATACCTGAGATAAAGAGATTCAGTGAAATAGTGTAGGCTTAGCAGAGTGACTGAAACATAGAAAGCTCTCAATGAAGGCTTTCCACCTAATGGCGTTGGAGGACCCATCTTTTGGGGCTGGAAGCAAGTCCTTCTTCCACTGCTTCTGCTATTCAACAGCCTGTCCCATCACCCATCCCCAACAGAAAGGCAGTATCTAACACCTCCTCCATCCCCTTTGTGTATCCATTGGCTTCCAGGCTGAGGGATCAGCAGAAACGGGTGCTTGGAAGTAGGAGGAACTGAGCCGGGCATCTGTGCTGATACGAATTGCTCAAAGGGGCATGTAGAACACACTGATTGATGCAGTGCCAACTGCGCCAATAAAATCTTCCTTCTTTCTCTGGGGCAATACAGCCCTAGACCCTAGGATAATGTCAAACCTTTTTTTTTTTTTTCAAGCATCTCTCTCTTCTCCTTTTTGAGGTCCAAATGCAACACCAGAAATAGCCCTCCTACATATCTTTTGCCCTCTCTGATGTCCAGTCACAGTGTTCCTCTTGCTCCTTTACCCAACGCTATACAGTCGCCGACATTTTATCCTGTACAAGAGAACATTAGGGCAATAGAGAGAGGGGTGGTTTCTATTTCTGCAGATGTTTTCAAGGTTGTATGATGATAACTTGCCTACCCAGCTCAGAGAACCTGCTGTCCAAAGACACCTCTCCCCAGCTTTCCAGTACAACTCTGCATATTTCAAAGGAATACTGGATGGCCCAGATACTATGGGCACTGTGCAGTCTCACAGCCCTTTGGCTTTTAATCCAAAGGGAACCTCTCAAGCAACCTGAAGGGGGTGGGGTATGTCACCCCACACTGTTAAGCTGGAGAAGTGTTTGAGGGAACATATCAGGCACAGGACAGATGAAGAGAATTTTGAAATATTTAATGTATTCCCATGGTTCAGAATTCAAAAGGTACAAAAGGGTTTACAGGCCACTTTTCCTGGAGGCAACAGGTATGATTATGTTTTGTGTCTATAGTTATACATAGACAAGCAAATACCCTATGACTCTCCTTCTTTCTCTTGTATAACATGAGCAGCAGCATATTATAAACACTCTAGGCATGTTTTTTTCCCACTTAGCCATATATCTTGGAAATCATTCCATATCAGTTATATAGTAAACTTACTAATTCTTTTTCTATGAATGAATAGGACACTATTTGACTCTCTGGAAGTACCATAAGACACTTAACAAGTCCCCTCTGATAAGCATGTAAGTTATTCTTTCACAGTTCGACTAAGTTGTTCTTTCACGGTTGAACAGTTGAACAGTGCTATAATGTACGTATATCTTTGTGCCCATATGCAAATATAACAGCAAGTAAAACAGCAAGTTCAGTTCCTAAAAATGGAATCACTAGGTCAGATGGCATGGGCATTTATAATTTTGACAAGTGTTTCCAAAAATGCCCTCCAAAGTTGTACCAGTTTACTCTCCCAGCAGCAACATAACAGCAGTCCCTGTTTTTCTACAACCTCATCAATGGTTTCTCTCTTTGATGTTTGCTAGTTGAAAGATTTGTACTTAATAAGAAATTAGTCCTTTGTGTAGGAGTTAAACCCTTGAGTGCCAGAGAGAAGGAAGAATATCCTGTTTACCAGACCAGCGTTTTCTGAAGTCTAGAGTCTAAAGGGGTTATAAATATCTCTTGGATCTACAATAAGAGTCTTTATTCACGACAGTTCCGGATTTCCGGCTACCACATGTGTGTCTGTTCTTAATTGGAAGAAAGTGGCCCCGAGGAAGGAGTAGTGACTTTGGAACCAGAGAGACCTGGGCTTCAAGCTCTGCTCTGCCATTAACTAGCTTTATGATCTTGGCAAATCATTTACCCTACCCCCAAACTCAGTTTCCTCAAATGAAAAATGGGGAAATAATACTAATTTTGCAAAACCTTGTGTCTGGCACATAGCAGGTATTTAATAAATGACAGCAACTTTCATTAATGTTAATAATCACCAGGCCAGATTCTAAACCCCAGGACACTTTTCACAATGGACAGACCCTGGAATGGCCCTACCAGAGCCAAATGACTTTTTTGTTAAGTGGCCATCCAGAAGATTCCCAGCTCCTCCTCTCACCCACCTCAGCCTTCTAAAGCTTGCAGACCAGGAAAATCCCAGCGTGGGCCTCTGGGTGAGGATTGGACTGTGCTGGGGCCAGGCTCCCCTGTTACCAGCTGATGTTTGCACTCAGACTGAGGTACTCCCTGAACTAAGGCTGGGTCATTTCCAGTTACAGACGGCAAGCTAGAGAAAAAAAAACAGAGATTCTTGGGCCAAACAGAGGGACCTGCTCTCATCTGCACAAGCCCATCTCGCCTTGCCTTTACAGAACAGCATGCCTGATGAGGTTACTGAATGCAAATCACTAGCCCTGGCAGGAATGTTAGCGATACCAACTCAGGTTTCTATTCAGGCCTGTGGCCCTCCCACTCCCACCTCAAAAGAACTTCACAGGCTTTTCCCAATCAAGCACGGCCCTATCACATGCATCCCCAGGATAGTGGAAATGACAGCCGTGCTCCTCCGGAGAGCGGGGGACTGTGAGGAGGGGCCGCTGCCGATCTGCCTGATGCCCCAGCAGAACCCTCCGAGAGCCCCGCATTATTTCCCCTCTGGACGCCAAAATGACCCTGTCTGTACCTGCTGGTTTAGATGCTCTTAGGCATGGGAGCTGGAACCTCCCTAGAGAAGGCGGAGAAAATCGGTTTCCAGAGCATGTACCTTTACTGTTCCTTCCCCTGGGTCCACCTCTTTCAGGGTCTGAACGTCCGTTACATGCAAGTGTTTCATTAGGACAGAAGGAAAACTGCCTTTCCCCTCAGGACACAGACCCCAGCGAATCTTAGGCAAAGCGAACATGCGGGACTGAAGTCCGCAGTCATTGTTTGTCTCCCACACGACATAAAACATGTGTCTGGCTCGGCTGCTGGAGGACCAAGCAGGGCACAGATGCAACTGCGCAGACGTCGGCCCTGCCAGCCACGCTGCGGGCCCCTCAGAATCTCAGGATGGGGCCCTCTGGGGGAGGGTCCAGGTGGGCGAAAGGACAGGAGGAAGTGCCTGCGGGCCTCCGCCTGCAGGTTGGATGACTGCATCCCCGTCACGTCAAACTTGCCAGGACGAGCAAACTTCCAGGGCCCCACAGTTCCACTCAGAGGAAAGGAACCCCCAGTGTGACAGGAAAACACGGCTGGTGTGTGTCAGCCAAAGGGCGCTGACCCAGGGAACAGATCTGTACCCCTGCCGTCCCTCGCGGCCTTTTGGAGCCGCAGAGAACTAGGATGCCACCCACTCAGGGCCGCGGCGCGCCGGCTCTCGGTCTCCACCCGCCCCACCCCGGCCAGGGGCAGCAGGGCCCCAGCAGCCCAATGCGGGCCTCGTCCCCACACTGCCTTCTGCTTGCCCGCTCTGCTCTCTGCTTGGCCAGGCCCTCCTCTGGGCCGCGGAGCAGAGGCTTCGGTGTGACCGGCTCCTCCAGCGCGCAGGGCTCTCCGGGATCGGAGTGCGGTCGCCCGCTCTGGGGCCTCGGGGGCAAGCGCACTGCGGCCCCACGGGCAAGTTGGGCTTCCCCGTCTCACCCCCGCCGTCCTGGCCCCAGACTCGCTGGCCGAGACGCCGGCTCCCACAGGCCCTGCCGCCTGCATGCCCACGCCGCGCCGCGAAGGCACTTCACCCTCTTTATTTTGTAAAACTTCGGAAAAATCACCGGCAAACCGAGAAGCGGTCGCAAGGCTGCCCAGAGTTGCCGGCACGAATCCGGACGCACAGACCGACGGCGGCGCATTGGCCCGACAGACCCCACCGGCCCGGCCCCCACCCTCCCCGGGTCCTCTGCCCCGGCCTCATGCTCCCCAGGTGGCAGCGGGCTCGAGGCGCAGCAGCAGCGGCGGGGTCCGCGTTGAGGTCTGGCCGGGCTGAAGGCGCAGAGAAGCCAGTCGACGCAGAAACGCTGAGTAGAGCGCCTTCGGCACGGCCCGGGGGCAGGGACCCGGCGAGTCTGGCCCCGAGGCGCGGGCACCGCCACTCGCGGTCTGGCCACGAGGCCGGAGATGCCCCCGAGCCGCCGCGCCCCTAGGAGAGGCAGAGCCAGGTGCAGACCCAGACCCAGTCGGGAACTGCTATGCTGAAGGCGGCGGGGTCGGCAGAGGGAGGCAGCCGGGGCGCGCTTACCCGGGTGTTGCGGCGCCCTCGAAAGTACGCGGTGGTCGACACGTCCGGGCGCTGAGCCCAAGCCCCGCGGCTCCTCCACCCTCCCGCGCCCCGCCCCTCCGCTCGCTTCCCTGCGCGATGGAGGCCCCGATCCGTTACCGCGGCTGAGCAGCTCCGCTCCGGCTGCGTCTCCCGCGTTGGCTCCCACGGGGTCGGCGCGCGTCCTTCCGGGCGCCTGCGGCTGGGGCGGCACACGTGAGGCTCCGCGGCCTCCCCAGCGCTCCGAGGACTGCCCTGCTCCGGGCGTGGAGCCTCATCGCCCCTCCAGGTGGCCAGGGCTGGGGGCAGGTACCGCGCGACCTGATTGGCGCTGGCCGGAGTCCGGGAAGAATCCCCGCCAGAGAGGCTGATGCACGCGGGCCAAGTGAAGCCACGCAGTGAAACAGCGCAACGGGCGCCTTCCAAACACCCCTCCTCAGCTCCGCCGCCCTTTTGCCTAAGAAATGTAAACTCGGGAGGCGGGCGTCCTGGGAATGCCTCAGTACAGGGGACTTTGCGCGCTACAGATCGGGTCCAGCACGGAAAATTCGGAGAACGGGAGAATCTTAGGGACCAGGGTGTGTCGCTATCCACTGGAAAGAGACTGCCTCGAGCCTCCCAAAGGGCTCCTCTGTGTTCCTGTTTCCGGCCCGCACTGTGCCCTGGAAATCCAAGGACACCTGGATGTCCCCGTCGCTGAGGGGTACCCGGGCCTCGTGGCAGGGCGGGATCAGATCAGTCAGGGTGTGATTAGAGCTGTGACGGTGAGGTCTGGCAGGAAGAGGCAGGAAGGGAGAGAAGCAATTCGACCCGAGGAGAAACCTGAATGGTGCGCTAGATTTCTTGTCTGAAATCACCGTCTTTTAATGTCTTAAAACTCTACGAGTTGCTTGTGTGCTGTACCCCAGTCAATAAGTTCTGACATCAGTAATTCAGAGGGTCTGCTGAGACAACATGACGGCCTGAGAGGGGATAAACTGTTCACTTCTCCGCACTTTCGAAGCATCTCTGTATGGAACGTTTACCTGTTCCGGTCTGATCATCTTTCTCTTGATCCTGCTTTCCAATCTTGATTGGACTGAAGACAGCCTGCTTTCCGATCCTGCTTTCCGATCTTGATTTAGACTGAAGAGAGGGGTGGGGTCAACCCAGTTAATGTTCGAGGAGGGAGGGTTCCCACTACATCAACAGTTCTCCTCTCTTCTTAGGCAGGGGAATTCAAGGCAAAGCTGATCAGGGAATCAGTTTGAAAAACAAAAAGAGAAAACTCCAAAACATTTAAAAACTGGGGACCGTCAGCCTAGGTCCAACTTCTAAAGGAGAGTAAGAAATTTAGCCCCTGGAGCAACCTTATTTTTCCTAATGCACTATTAAAAAACAAAAATCCCAAGGCAAGCCACCACCTCATCATTCCAGCGAGTCTACTGTTGCAGCACACTCCACTTTGTACTCTTAACTCTTCTCACAGATTTTACATTTTGAGCTCAGATTTTCATGTGCCGTCTTTTCTCACACAGTTAAGGCTCATGCCACATTCATGTGTCATCTCAAAGGCAAAACAATGAAATATGAAGAGGGCGTGTGATTTTGCTATAAACTGTAACACAGAAAAGTGAAGACAACATACCTTCATAGCCTAATGAATCATAAACCAAACACCACCCAGGTCATTGCTATCACCTGGGAGGTTCTCCTGCCCCACCAATTCCCTTCCACAAGTCCTTCCCTTCCCTCTAAAGCAACTATCCTGACTTTATGGTAATTACTTGCTTATATATCTTATAGTTTCTACCAATTTGTAATGTATCCCTAACCACTACAGTTTAGTTTTGCTTGGTTTTGAACTTTCTATAAATTGAATAATATTGCATGCATATTTTTGTGTGTTTCTGGCCTCTTCTTCTATTTGGTTGTAAGAGTCATCTACTTTTGTGGCATGTAGTTGTAGTTCATTCATTTTCATTGCTACTTAATAGTCCCTTGTATGGACATATCACAATTTCTTTGTCCATTCTGGCACTTTTAGACATTTGGATTTTTCCAGTTGGGGCTATTACAAATTTTATTGCTAATAATATTTTTGTATATATCTCCTGGTATGCAAGTGTAATCTTTAGGATGTATACCTTGGAGTGGAATTACTGGACTATAGGGTATGCATATATTTAGTTTTATTAGATCATGCCAAATTGTTTTCCAAAGTGGCCACAAAATTTACACTCCCATCAGAGATGTATGGTAGTTCCCACTGCTCTGCATCCTTGCCAAAATGTAATATTATTAGACTTCTTATTTTTTGTCAGTCTGGCGGAGATGTAATGGTGTCTCATTGTGATCTTCGTTTCATATCCCTAATTACCAGTGAAATTGGGCACTTCTACATGTGTTTATAGGCTATATGAATTTTCTGTTTTCTGAGTGCCTGTTCAAATGTTTGCCCACTTTTTTGAGATGGCTTTTTCTTATTGATTCATAAAAAGCTGTTTATAAATTCTAGCTGCTGCATGCCTTGGTCAGTTAGAGACTGCAAGTATCTTCTACTCATTTAATGGTGTCTTTTGATCAACAGTCACTAGGCAGGAGAATGGCGTGAACCCGGGAGGCGGAGCTTGCAGTGAGCTGAGATCCGGCCACTGCACTCCAGCCTGGGCGGCGGAGTGAGACTCCGTCTCAAAAAAAAAAAAAAAAAGAATTTTCATTTTCAGATAATTGTAGATTTGCAGGCAATTTAAAGAAATAATACAGAGAGATTCCAAGTACCCTTTACCCAGTTTCCCTCATTGGTAATGTCTTGCAAAAACTATAGTGAAATATCATAATTAGGATATTGACATTGACACAGTCAAGATACAGAACATTTCCACCACCACAAGATCCCTCATATTATCCTTTTGTAGCCACACCTGCTTCCCCGTGCACCCCTCCCCATCTCTAACCTCTTGAAACCACTTATCTGTTTCGCATTTCCAAAATTTTGTAATTTCGAGAATGTTATATAAATGAAATCATTTGTAACCTTTTGAATCAATATGTAACCTTTTGAATTTTTTCCCACTCAGCAACCCTAGTTGCAGGTTGTTGTAGCAATACTTTGTTCCTTTTTCTTAGTAGTATTTCGTTGTATGAATGTATTACCAGCTTGTTTAACCATTCACCTAATGAAGGACATTTAGGGGGTTTTCCCCCAGTTTTGCGGGTATCACATATTAAGTTGGCTCAGGTGGGAGGATCGCTTGAGCCCAGTAGTTCCAGACTGGCTAGGCAACATAGTGAGACCCTGTCTCTACATAAAAATTTTAAAAATTAGCTGGGTGTGGCTGCACACACCTGTAGTCCCAGGTACACAGGAGGCTAAAGGGGCAGGATCCCTTGAGCCCAGGAGTTGGAGGCTGCAGTAAGCTATAATTGAACCACTGCACTTCAGCTTGGGAGAACAGAGCAAGACCTTGTCTCAACAACAACAACAACCACCAAATAAAGTTGGCATAACATTTGTATACAGGATTTCAAGTGAGCATACATTTTCATATCTCTGAGAGATATGAAATAGTTCTCTCTGGGAGAACTATTGCTAGTTTGTAGGGTGAATGCCCAGGACAACTATCACTAGATCATATAGTAATCACATGCTTAGTTGTTAAAGAGACTGCCATCCTGTTTTCCAGAGTAGTTGTACCATTTTACATCCCAACGAGGAACGTAAGAATGATCCAGCTTCTCCACATCCTTGGCAGGATTTGGTGTTGTCAACATTTTAAAATTTTAACCCATTCTTATACATGTATAGTGATGTGTCATTGTGGTTTCAAATTCCATTCCTCTAATGGCTACTGATGTCAGACGTCTTTTCAGGTGCTTGTGCTTTCTTGCCATTTTTATTTCCATCTATATGCTATCTTTGGTGAAATCTCTGTTTATGTCTTTTGGCCATTTGCTAATTGGATTGTTTTGTTTTATTGGTTGTTGAGTTTTCAGAGTTCTCTATAGTCTAGATAAGGGGTGTCCAGTCTTTTGGCTTCTCTGGGCCACATTGGAAGAAGAATTGTCTTGGGCCACATATAAAATATAAAATAAAAAAACACTAACAATAGCTGATGAGCTTTTAAAAATCACAAAACAATTCTCATGATGTTTTAAGAGAGTTTACAAATTTGTGTTGGGCCTCATTCAAAACCATCCTGGGAGGCTTGTGGCCAGTGCACCATGAGTTAGACAAGCTTGGTCTAGATCCTGGTCCTTTTTCAGATCTGTGGCTTGCAAATATTTTTCCCTAGTCTTTTCATCCTCTTTACACGCACTTTGTAGAGAAATTTTTAAATTTTGATAAGGTCTAATTTTACTATTTTTTCTATTATGGAGCATGCTGTTGGTGTCAAGACTAAGAACTTTCTGGCTAGCCCTAAATCCCAAAGGTTTTCTCCTATTTTTTTTTCTGTTTCACGTTCTGTTGGTAATCCATCATAAGTTAATTTTTGTATAAGATGTGAGGTCTAGGTTCAGCTGCTTCTGCTTCTGCTTCTTCTTCTTCTTCTTCTTCTTCTTCTTCTTCTTCTTCTTCTTCTTCTTCTTCTGCTTCTGCTTCTGCTTCTGCTTCTGCTTCTGCTTCTGCTTCTGCTTCTTCTCCTTCTTCTGCTTCTGATTCTTCTGCTTCTTCTCCTTCTTCTCTTTTTTCTTTGTTTCTTGCCTAAGAAGGTCCAATTGCTCTGGCACCATTTGTTAATAAGGCTATTTGTCTGCCATTTAATTGCTCTTGCACCTTTGTCAAGAATCAGCTGGGCATATTTGTGTGGGTCTATTTTTGGATTCTCTATTCCATTCCATTGATCTATGTGTCTGTCTTTCCACCAATACCATACAGTCTTGATTACTGAAGCTATATAATAAATCTTGAAATCAGATAGACTGATTCCACCCACTTTATTCTTTCTATTCAATATTGTTTTAGCTCTTCTAGTTCCTTTGCCTTTCTGTTTAAATATTAGAATCATCTCCTCTATATCTATTAATACAAAAATTCTCACTGATATTTTGATATAAATTAGGAAGAAAGCATTCAGTCTTTCATGATTAATTATAGATTAGCTATAGGTGTCTAGTTTGCCTTCTATTTCTGTTTTTTCTGAGAATTTTGTCATAAATGGGTGTTAAATTTTGTCAAATGTTTTACATTAGTTTATATAATCATATGATTTTTTTTTCTTTTTTTAGCCTTTTAATATGGTGAATTGCATTGAGTTTTGAAAGTTGAACCAGCCTTGCATTCCTGGAAGAAAGCCTACTTGGTCAAAGTGTATAAATCTTTTCACATAGTGCTAAATTCTTGGTTTTTAGATTTTTTAAACACAGCTTTATTGAGGTATAATTGATATATAAAAACTACATATTTTTATGATTTTTTGCTTTTATTATTATTTTAAATGGACATGTAATAATTGTATGTATTCATGGTGTACAATGTGATATTTTGATACAAGTATATAATGCGCAATGATCAAATCAGGGTCATTAGCAAATACATCACCTCACACATTTATCATTTCTTTGTGTTGGGAACATTCAAAATCTACTCCTCTAGCTATTTGAAAATATACAATTAATTCTCACCCTAAATAGCACTCATCCAGTGCTACAGAGCACTGGAATTTATGCTTTCTATTTAGCTGTACTTTTGTATCTGTTAATCAGCCTTTGGTCACCCCTCTCCCTATTCCCCTTCCCTTCCTCTTCACTTCTATGATACCAACTTTTATAGATTCCACATGTGCTGAGAACTTGCAGATTTATCACTCTGTGCCTGGCTTATTTAACTTAACCTAATGTCCTCCAAGCTCATCCATGTAAACTGCACCTATTTAAAGTATTCAATCTAATGAGTTTGGACATATGTACATACTGCGAAACCCTCACTACAAATCAAGGTGATACACATGGTCATCACCTCTAAAAGTTTCCTTGTATCTCTTTGCTTTTTGGTCTTTTTTGATGAGGTGTTTGTTGTTGTAAGAACACTTAACATGAGCTCTACCCTCTGAACAAACTTCTAAGTGCACAGTCCAGCATTGTTAACTATAGGCATTATGTTGTATGGCAGATCTCTGCCATTTATTCATCTTATATAACTGAAACTGTATAGCCGTTGAACAACAACTCTTCATTTCCTCCTTTCTCCCAGCTACTTGGAAACCACTATTTATTCTCTGCTTCTGTGAATGACTATTTTAGATACCTTATACAAGTAGAATTATGCAGTATTTTTCCTCTTCTAACAGGCTTATTTTCACTTAGCATCATCTCCCTCAGGTTCATCCATGTTGTCACAAATAGCAGGATTTCCTTCTTTTATAAGGGTGAATAATATTTCATTGTATTTATATACCATACATTTTTCTCCATACATGTCAGTGGACATTTGGGTTGTTTCCATATCTTAGCTATTGTGAATAATGCTGCAATGAACATGCGGGTGCAGATGTCTCTTTGAGATATTGATTTTTTAGGTATATATCAGAAGTGGGATTACTGGATCATATGGTTTTCAATTTTAAATTTTTTCCTCAAAAAATAGTATGAGGAAATTTCATACTATTACCACAGCAGCTATACTATTTTACATTCCAACCAACAATGTACAAGGGTTCCAATTTCTCCACAGCATTGCTGATACTTGTTACCTTTTGACTTTTTTTTTTTTTTTTTGAGACTGAGTCTTGCTCTGTCACCCAGGCTAGAGTGCAGTGGTGCAATCTCAGCACACTGCAACCTCTGCCTCCTGGGTTTGGGTTCAAGCAATTCTCCTGCATCAGACTCCTGAGTAGCTGGGATTACAGGCACCTGCCACTGCGCCCAGCTAAATTTTTTTTATATTTTTAGTAGAGGTGGGGTTTCACCATCTTAGCCAGGCTGGTCTCGAACTCCTGACCTCGTGATCTACCCGCCTTGGCCTCCCAAAGCGCTGGGATTACAGGTGTGAGCCACCACGCCCAGCCCACCTTTTGACTTTTTGAGTACAGCCATCCTAACAGGTTTGAGGTGATATCTCAATGTAGTTCTGATTTGCATTTCTCCGATGATTAGTGTGTTGAACACTTTTTTATATACCATTTGGCCATTTGTATGCCTTCTTTGGAGAAATGTTTATTCAGGTTCTTTGTCCTTTTTTTTTTTTTTTTTTTGGTCACTGAGTTGTATTAATTTCTTATATAGTTTAGATATTAACCCTTATCAAATACATGGTTTGTAAATATTTTCTCTTTCCAAGGTTACCTTTTCATGCCACTGATTGTTTCCTTTGCTGTGTAGAAACTTTTTAGTTTAATGTAGTCCTACTTGTCTGTTTTTGCTTTTGTGACCTTTGCTTTTAGTGTCACATCCAAGAAATCATTGCCAAGACCAGTATCAGGAAGATTTTTCCCTGTGTTTTCTTCTAGGAGTTTTATAGTTTCAGGTCTTGTACTTCAGCCTTTAATTCATTTTGAGTTAACATTTTGTGTATGGTGTAAGATAAGGGTTCAATTTCATTCTTTTCCATGTGGCTATCCAGTTTTCCCAGCACCATTATTGAAGAGACTCTCCTTTTCCCATTGTGTAGACTTCGTACTTTCGCTATTGTGAATAATGCTGCAATGAACATGGGAGTGCAGGTGTCCTGCTTTTGAAAGCGAGTCACCAAATCCAGCCCACACCCAAGTGTGAGTGCTGCTCTGTTTCCCATCCACCCTGTCTCAGAATGTAGCTCCTTTATGGTTTCAACTCAAAGCAGGAGGTGGTTTAGCAACATTCATACCTTTGGTGAGCCATGAACTCCAACTTTTGACCTCTAACCATGATTACCAAATAACCCCAGTGACACTGAATACAAGGCTCATTTCTTCTGATTTCTGTCCTTTCTTGGGGCTTAAAGCTGGTCACTTCTTATTAACGTATTCGCTCTTTGATGCTTTTAGGAAGATTTTAAACATATTTTATCCAACCATTTTAGTTATCTTTAGCTTGCCCTTCAGGAGTATGGGTTTGAATTATTTAACCTGCTTTTTCAGAAATAAAATCAGTTGCTTGTCTGTTGTTATTGTTGTTGTTTAATCTGGGGGGACTTATTTTGAGTGAAAACTGCCTTTTTGCTAAAGATTTACAGAGCTACATCAAGGAAAAATGTAATTACCCACCCCTTGCTTTGTCAGGTGCATTCTAGCAAAGTAAGTTGTAATGTAAACTTTTTTTTGTTTTAACTTTTAATATAAACTCAAAGGACCATTCAGACAGAGACCACATCACATAACAGGAATGGGCTAAAACTCAAATGTCAACCTAGTCTCACTGGCCAATTGAAACAGCTCTTGCTCTCTTACCTGACGAGCCCAGTCCTTTCTTCCAATGTATTTTTATGTTGGCAGTATAATTGGTTGGCGTGGGATTCTTTTTACTTGAAGACAGGTTCATCTGGTGGAAGCTTCCTGAAATACTGCAATGGACTGAATGTTTATGTTTATGTACCCCCTACCTAAATTCTGTGTTGAAATTCTAACCCCCAAGGTGATAGTATTTGGAGGTGGGGCCTTTGGCAGGTGATTAGGTGAATGGGATTAGTGCCCTTAAAATAGAGACTCCTGAGGAGCTCATTAGTCCCATCCAGCATGTGAGGACACAGCAAGAAGGAATCGTCCATGAATCAGGAAGTGGGCCTCCACCAGAAACGGAACCTGCTGCTACCTTGATTTAGGACTTCCCAGCTTACAGAACGGTGAGAAATAAATTTCTATTGTTCATAAGCCACCCAATCTATGGTATTATTATGGCAGCCTGAACAGACTAAGACAGATATGAAAAAGGAGTATTAGTTTAATTTCTTCCATTTGGCTAAGTCTGCCATCCGGCATTCAAGTTTTTCTTTTAAAGATGTCAAGTTTTGTTTAGTCAATGATTAAGATGACAGCTTTCTCTAGTCAGGAGCGACATTATTAAGCCTGGCTCAGTGGTGTTCTCCTATACAGGTCTACAATCTCGTATTTACAACTTGAATTTCAAAAATCTCTGATAGTCAAAGTTTAAAAAAGATCTGTTGAGTGCAACATTTGAGCTGAGTTGATCTGATTTGGTGGCCAATCTGAAACTACAGCGAGGCTATTTAAGCCTTTATTCATCTCACTTGGTGTCAATATTTATTCATTTTGCTGCAAAAACATTGATGTGTTTGCTGCTCCAGACACTATTGGGGTGTGTTGTGCTAATAAATAGGAATGCACCAATTTACCTTTCTAAAATTAGGGGTAAATTGATTTTCAAAAAATTGTTCTCCATGAGGCAAGAGGAAGATTTTGTTATTCCTGGGATAGGAGGAACAAGGAGGAAGAGAAGACGACAGTGGATACAAGGATATGGGGAGAAGACTTTGAGCATTATCATGTCACCCCTTCCTGTGACCTTCCCCCAAGCCTTCAGCAGAGTTTCTCTACTAAGAGCATGCATTGTGGTGAGTGAATGTGTGGCGGTGTGGGACCAGGTGAAGAGAGTTGTCTTTGTGCTTGTTTTGAAGTGGGTCAGAAGAGAGGTAGCACGTGTGGATACAGGAGCACAGAGACAGAAATTTGAGGGCTGGGTTCTGAGAACTCCCATAAATTATGGGGGATAAGGGGAGCATCACTGTCTCACAAGGCCTTGGAATTAGGATTCTGGTAAGGTCTCATCAATTATGTAATGAACAGAGCATGCTACCTCTGTGAAGTTCTCAATTTTATCTTGTATTTAAGTTTATTTAGCTTTACATGTTTTTCACAATTTCCTCCCTTTCCTGGTCTCCCTAATACAAGTGAAGCATCTATCCTCTCTTGAGACAAGATTTTGTGTTTTATAGTCATTTCTTGGGAACCAGGAATTATTTAATTTGCATTTCAAATAATCATACTGCAAAAACAGATAATATGGTCAATAGGCAAATGATTAACAGCTTGAACCTTATAATCAGACAAACTGGGTTTGGATCCTTTCTCAGGAAAGCTATTTCATCTTTCTAAGCCTTAGTCCCTCAGTTGCAAAATGGGAAATAAATACTCCCTACCTATTAAGGCTATACATGTGGAGGATGCTAGGCCCCATGCCATAAGCATAGTGAGAATGCAATACATGATAACTTTAAAAAATATTGAGAGTTGTCCTGGTCCCTGCCTCCTCAGTATGTGCTTCATATTCACATTACCAGCCAAGAATCCCTTTTTACTTCCACTCTGTAGGTGGCCTTTCTGAGCAGGTCTCTGTCCACATCCTCTCTCATGGCTCTTGTCACCCGCCCTCATCTCCAGAACTGCTGATGCATGAGATTAACAATCATGTAAACAATCTCTCTCTCTTTTTTTTTTTTTTTTGAGACAGAGTCTCACTCTCTTGCCCAGGCTGGAGTGCAGTGGTGCGATCTCAGCTCACTGCAGCCTCCACTTCCTGGGTTCAAGCGATTCTCCTGCCTCAAGCCTCCTGTGTAGCTGGTATTACAGGCACGTACCACCATGCCTGGCTAATTTTTGTATTTCTAGTAGGACAGGGTTTCGCCATGCTGCCCAAGTTGGTCCCGACTCTTGAGCTCAAGTGATTCACCCACCTCAGCCTCCCAAAGCGCTGGGATTACAGGCGTGAGCCACCACACCCCACCTAAACAATCATTTATAACCAGCACAGCTGCTCTCAAGATCCAATGTGTTCAGTCCCTTATCTTGGGAGGGTATGAATATTACACATTCAAAAGCAATGTGCTGGCCGAGCCTTGTGGCTCACGCCTGTAATCCCAGCACTTTGGGAGGCCGAGGTGGGAGGATCACAAGGTCAGGAGTTCAAGACCAACCTGCCCAACATGGTAAAACCTCATCTTTACTAAAAATACAAAATTAGCCAGACGTGGTGGCAGGCGCCTGTGGTCCCAGCTACTCGGGAGGCTGAGACAGGAGAATCACTTGAACCCAGGAGGCAGAGGTTGTAGTGAGCCGAGATTTGTGCCACTGCACTCCAGCCTGGGTGACAGAGCGAGACTCCATCTCCAAAATAAAACAAAACAAATAAACAAAAAAAACCAGTGCGCTGAAAAGTATTATAACCATGATGAAGTACTTCATCATAACTGAGTTAAAGTAATTGGTACAGCAAACTGAGGGTCAAAAACATGCGTGGTTCTGTGGGGACATAGTAACAGTGCCCACACGGAGAAAAGTTTCACCCAGCACCAAAGCACTTTAGAGCATCTACGTTTGCATATAAAACGAAGTTCACATCCAATTTCCGTTTTGACATGGGTCACCAGAAGATACTTAAGGATGAATCTGTTCTGGAACAAAAAGTCACAAAACAGCTATGAGGTAATTTAGTAAATGAGTAAGGAGCAATTTCTTCCTCAGATTTGAAACCTCTGTAAGTGATTCCTGCAATTGCTGTTAAAACTTTAAATCAAAGAAGAATGATTTAACAAAATAGAATTTTTTGGCCTTTGGTCTGTTTTTAGCTACCAGAAATAGGCAAGCTTCACATACTTATCTTTCTCAACACAATACCATATTCGACAATTAATTCACATGGTTGGGACCTTCTGTGGGTTTATGAGAACTGGGATTATCAGCCCATTTTGCACATGGGGATGGAGTATATAGGTGGCTGACTCAAGATTATGCAGAAAGGTCTGAATAGACCTAGCACTTGGTTGTTGGCACTGTGGTCTCACTTTGCTTTCAAGCATGTATTATTTGCCCTCTACAATGATGTAATATTTGCCTTTTATAGTGATGTAACATTTGCCCTTTGTAAATATGATTTTATGTAGTGTATTTATAAACAGGTAAATGAGCACAAGGGAGAAAAATGGTATTCGAGTAACAAACAGACTACATGAAGACATAAGGGAGTCATGAGGGGCTGTTCCAAACCCTGCAGTTTGGCACTGCTTAGCTTTGCCAGGATGGCCTCAGTCCCGAGCATTGTTTGTTTAGCTCAAGGTGGGCATCACAAGTCAATATTTTCTTCCTATACTAGAAGTTATAGTTAAAAATCTGCCACATAAATTTACTTGTTGGTTCATATTTCATGCCTTGTAGAGCAAACTGCTCTATTTCCTGTGGAAATTTCATTCCAGTTGCTTTCAGTACTGTTATGATCGCTCTCTAGAGAAGAACCCTAAATCCTTGTACTGAAATCAGTATTGCTCTCTGAGGCTCTCACATCAGAAATGGTTTGTTGGCTGTCATCTGGCCATTTGCAGCTATTTCACTTCCTCCTCTGCTACTCCACATCCAAACTCACATTTGTAGCTTTTCATGGTATATTACCTCATAAATCTATATACCTTCTCTCTTCCCAGGTCATCCTGTCTCAATTTGTTTTAACCCTCCAATATAAAATATATTTGTCCCCTGACTGTATGCACAATCCTAGAAAAATCTTTGCTTTAACCTAACAAAGAAAGCACAATTAACCTTTTCAAAAAATGTGTCAGGTTTGTATCACCAAAAATTAATTGTAGGTGCTGATATATAACTTTTTCTTTCACAAATTCATGTAAATTCCAAATTAAATAACAATTATTAAATAAAAAATAAATAAAAATTCCAAAGCAAGTACCCGGCTCAGCAAAGAAACCTCTGTGCAAACCTCGGACTTTCCTAAAAGGAAAAGCATTTACTCTAACAATGAGCTGTGGGAGCCAGAGAGAATGGGCACTCATAATTGTTCCAATTGTTTTCCTACCAACACTGATTCTGAGCTTTATGTGCCATCTATTTATTGTTGTTGCTCATGAAGTTTTCAAGATTTGCTGAATGCAAATTAGTGCCTTTTTCCACAAAAAGAACCTTAAGAAAAAAGCTATTTTGTACATAAAAGAGTGCTTTTTTGCACATAAAAATAGTTTTAAGAAAAGAGCTTTAAGAGCTCACAAAAAATATATAGATTCTGGTTTTAGATCCAGCGCAATAACTTGCATAGCTGAGCACTTAGTATTTTCTACAGATGACAACAAAGGCACTAATTTCAGCTAGAGACACAAACACCTCCTTCTGAGTCTTCCCATGGCACTGGTTTCTACTTTATATCAAATGCAGAGAAAGGGGGTGTCACTTAGGGGGCCTTTTCTTTCCAAGAAACTTACTGCCAGTCCCCTAAGGCAAGAGTCTAAGTGTTGCTTCTGACTCACCGAAGCTACGAAAGGGGCCAGGTGTGAAGGCTGTACCACCTGTCACTCCATGACCACCAGGATTGATCTGAATGACTTTGCTTCCTTGGACGGGGGTCAGGGGTTCTCCTCCTTCTGCACTGGTCTACATTCCCAGAAAGAGGAAATCATTTCTTAGCCTTCGTCTTCTGCTGTTTGAAATCACTGTATGGATGCCAGCACATGGAATTCAGATGGCTTCCCCTAATGGGACTCAGTGCTTGCAAATAGGAGGATAAATGCCCCTGTGTGATGTGTAAGGTGACTCAGCCATCAGGATAGTGAATTAAGGTGGGGCTCTTTGGGATATCTAACCTGTCTTTCTTTTTGATTACCCATCTCAAACACCGTCCTCATTTCTGCCAGGGCTGATGGAAGGCCAGGCCCCAAAGGTAGGAGGCTGATGCTCAAATCTCCTAATGGAGCTTGACAGCAGCAGGATTAAAAGCACAAGTGCAGCACCCAGAAAGCAGTGCAGGAAGGCATATGAATCCTCGCTATGCCCATTCTCATGCTATCAGCTCTTTCTTTTAGAGAGCTGAACCATAAAGATAAATCTTTTCATAGAAACAGAAGTTTTTAAAAAAAAAATACGAATGATGAAAGGGCTTTGGAGAGTGGAAAAAGAGGACAGAAGTAAACTTTACTGTGGTATTTCTAGGGGCCAGGAGCTGGGCTTGTCTATACAATAAACCCCTTTGAGGAAGCAGAGATATCAGTATGCAAAGGACAAAATGACAATTGCAGTAATGCTACTCTGATAGCTAGATTCCTTTGTAAAACCAGACCAACTCTGAAAGCAGCTACTTATTCTCTTAGAACAAGTAACAACTGTTACAGGCAACTAGGAGCCTTCTCAGAATGGCCCGGCTTGGTGATTTTCCTCTGACATCCTTAGCATTGTATCTCTTGGGTCTACATTTCCACATTTGGCACTGAATTATTACTTTGCTCCGTTATTGAACTGTTTCACCTGGATATCCCTTGCTTCCCCAGTAAAACTCTTAAGATCCTTGAGGGTAGAACAATGTATTAAAAGTAATTCAAAAATATTTACAGAGTGTCTATATTATGTACCTAACTGAGGGGAATTCAAATAAGTTTAAGGCGCTCACAATTATAGTTGGCAAAATAAAACACATACATAGAACACCTATATGGCAATGCAAGGCAATGACTGGTTGAAGTCACAAATACGTGGGATATATTATCAATATACACCAAGTTTCTTTGGAAAGAGAGACTATTCTAGAGAAACAACAAAGGAGGACTTTGAGAAGCAAGAAGTCCAAGAAGAGAAGCCTCAGGATGCTGCCTTTCAGCTGGCAGGAAGAAAAACAAAAGGGTCCATTCTGATCCTGTGTCCTTGAAGATGAGAGAAATGTTGTCTTTCCAGACCAATAGCTAATCAACCAGCTACAAACAGATGTATGTACTGAGAAGCTGGGGTTCACTGATGCTTTAACAGGACTTATATGCTGTACCTATGCTGAGGTCTTGACACAAACATGTATTGATGTCTTGGGGAGTGAGCTGGCACTCTGAGGAAAGGCACTGCAGTGACTTCAGGACAAAAACCATTTAGTCCTCTTTGCCTTCCGCTAGGGTAGCTAGTTTACCTTGGTTGTAGATTATCCCAGTAGCTTTATTATTTTGCCACTGTGGCTAATCTTTGGCCATTTAAGTGCTCCTAAACAGTGAAAACTGGGGAAATGTGTCTATTTGGCAGACACTGAGCAAACAAAAGACAAAAACAAACAAATCACAAACCCACAAACATCAGCCCTCCCAGATTATCACAGGGAGATATGGAGGTACCAGAAGACCCATCTGGAGACCACGAATTCACTGGGTGCTCTTACATCTGTGCTATGGTCAAAATGAAGCTGGGACAGAAGTGTCAGAGAGAAAAAGGAGACAGATCACTTACTGCCTGATGTCATGTGCCTGGCAGCACCCACAAAGCACTCTTTCAGGCTGAAATGAGCTGTCATCTCACCGCGTCCTGCCAGCACCAAATGCACTCTGACAGGCTACTTAAAACACAAAGCCCTTCCATTTACAATTCCTGAAAAAGTAACTTTTGTCTG